ACACGCCAATAAGCAAATGCACCCGCCCCAATCGGGCACACACTTTGGATCATGCGGAAGCTTATCTGGGTCACAACCCGTCAAGCGGTGACCAGTCTTCTCTTACTAAGCAAGCCATGAGCAAAGAAACCTTGAAGTGGGGCTTTGCCAGAGATTTATGCCTTTCAACTATCTGTCATTTTGCTTCCAGCGCTAACGCCAAAACCATGCCGCAGCTCCTTCTTGAAGGGTTTCTTCTAACAAAGTGCCCCAGAAACTTCTTGGAATAAGTTTCTGCCACTTAGTTGTCATTTTGTGACACTTTAACTGGGACCCACGTTTTCTCATCTGCCTGCGTGAAGTCAGGCACAAAATCGTCTCTGGAAATTGTCACATGTGGGATTTCACGGCTGGCAAAAACTTTCAAGTTGCAAGTAACTTCTTGGATGGATTTATTTGTTTGCTTCACTTCTAGGGTCTTCTTTCGAATTTGTTTAAATGCCTAATGTTTTAAGAACTCTGAAAGGCATTCACGATCTTCGGCCTTTTGTGTACGGTTTCTGGGCTTAATTAGCTCGCGACACATGAGTGCGTCGCCTCAAAAGGAAGTCTGCACTTGAGGAAAGGCCCCAACGTTCTCGATAAGTTCGTAAGATCTGAACCCGCTGACCCTTCCATCGCACGATGGCAGCAACTTCGCAGGTCATCAATAAATTCGGCGTTTGTTCCGCGCCGCTGATCGAACGGCCTGCGCTTGTGTGTCTTTCATAAAGCCGTCTCCGTCTGATGACATCTTATCTGGTTCTTTGTTTGAACTATGGCGCGAAAGCAAGGCAGCAAAGGCATTTCTATATTTGCCTTGGTTGAGTTAAAGATGGACATGTTACGGTGAGAAATGAGTGATTACGTGACGGTCAATTCGTTCAAAAACCGTGCTTCAAAACAGCGCCGTGTCTGATTGAAATGTGGAAAGGGTGGACGCTTAGTGATGTGGTTTCGTCCCCAAACAGGCGTGTTGCCCAGCGTGGGTTTCCCATGAAGCCACCGCCTGGCGCGACGTTGTGGGAAATGACCACGCAGGATGGCGACTGCATCCCGGTTCCAGCTCTGGCTCAAAGTTTTGGCCTGTGCGGATTGAAAAACAAGAGGAGGCGCGCGATTTCCAACCTTGCCACATAAGTGCCACAAAATCAAACCAACAATGTATCCAGCCAAACTTTTGGAACAACCGAAGACAGGCTTTCAAGTATCCGACTCGTGCCTGCAAAAAGGATTTTGCGGCTGCGTTGGAGCCGGGCCCATGCAGCGTTTGTGGATCCAGCGCCGCTGCGTCCTGCCGCGTGGACCCACCGTGGCGCCGCGGACCACTCCAACAGGTGATTCGCACCATGGAGGAAGGGCGGAGGCAACAGAAATGCGTGCGCAGAGCGCGCGTTCCAAGACAGGCTCACCGGCTCGCATCTGCTCGTGCGATTGACACACGGCGTTGCTCCTGCAGGTCGACAGCAAGCATCCATGATTGAAGGCACTTCGTTGCTCACAGCAATGCTCGTCTTTCAGATGTGTCGAAGCGCTTCTGACGTCACAAGGGTGACAACTTCATTCAGGCTACATTCAGGCTCCATCTGCCGTAGCGAGGGGAGCTTAAGGGTGGATGGAAAAGGGGGCTGGAGAAGCTAAGGGGGCCTGAGGGGGGCGCTTAGAAGGGAAGGGGGAGGTGAGGGGGGGGGGACAAAGAAGGGGTGTAGGTCCTAAGCAGTGCGAAGCTTACAGGGAAGCAGGTCTTCACCACTTTGCCTCCGCTCCGCCTCCGCTTCGCCATGCTCAGGCATGTATGTAATGTAGTGTAATGTAGTGTAATGCAATGTAACGTAATGTAGTGTAATGTAATGTAATGTAAGGTAAGGTAATGTATGTAGGTAGGCATGTATGTATGCATGTAACGAACGTAATGTATGTATCCACCCTCTTTGTTCGAAGCTTTTTTTAGCTAGGCGAAGCGGAGGCAAAGACGCGTCTTTTTACGGGGAATCTCAAGATGAAGGCAATGGGGGGGGGCTTTTGAGAGAGAGAGAGAGAGAGAGAGATCAGAGAGAGAGAGAGAGAAAAAAAAAAGGAAGAAAATAGAGAGCGAGGGAGAAGAGAAGAGAAGAGAAGAAAAAAAAGGGAAAGAAAAAAAAGAAGAGAAGAGAAGAGAAGAGAAGAGAAGAGAAGAGAAGAGAAGAGAAAAAAAAAAGAGAAGACAAGAGAAGACAAGAGAAGAGAAGAGAAGATAAGAGAAGAGAAGAGAAGAGAGAGAGATCAAAAAGAGAGAGAGAGAGAGAAACAAAGAGGGAGAAAAGAGAGAGAAAGAGAGAGAGAGAGAGAATTGAGAGAGAAAAGAGAGAGAAAATTGAGAGAAAAGAGAGAGAAAAGAGAGAGAAAAGAGAGAGAAAAGAGAGAGAAAAGAGAGAGAAAAGAGAGAGAAAAGAGAGATAAGAAATGCCCCTATGATACCAGCGGCGGATCCATCATCTCTTTGCTATAACTTGGCAGCCTGTGTTGCGATGGAACAGTGCAATTTCGAAAACACCTGAGTTTCAGATCAGCCTGCGTATCAATACTTCATAGATCAGTTGGCGAACGCATGCTGACGTGGCTTTGGATAGGTGTGCAACAAATACCAGCGTGCCGCTGGTGTCGGAGCACCTTTGCTGCCTCGGCAGAATTCAGAAGCTCTTTAACTGCAATGACTGGACATGCGTATCCTGGCGCACTGTCCCGTCCAATCCAAATCTGTGTTCTGTGCTGGAAACGCTGCCGAGATCTGTGTCGATTTAAGGGAAAGAAGCAGCTGTTGCCGCTCAAAAGCTGGTGGCCCTCCAGTGTCTGCAGTCTGTATTGGACGATATTGCTCTCGTAACAAACAAACGGGCCCAAACAAATATCCTCCACACGACACGTCGTGCGCATACCATCCAAAATAGCAAGGCGTTCCCTCACTGAAATTCCGCGGAAATCCCGCCGAAAAGCCAAACAAGCTCCAGTCTGAGGAAATGGCGCACACCGTGCACTTGCATCGCCAGATGCGATGCGACATTCAACAGGAATGAACTTGTTCCAAGTTGAACGCTAGGATATGTCTGCCCTCCCCGGTTTGGATTGTCATTGACTCCACACAGGTGCGGGTTTGATCGATCAAAAGATTCATTCGTCAAATCAATGTGTCACACACAATAACAACACATAGATACACAAATAGATAGATAGATAGATAGATAGATAGATAGATAGATAGATAGATAGATAGATAGATAGATACATAGATAGATAGATAGATAGATAGATAGATAGATAGATAGATAGATAGATAAATAGATAGATAGATTAGAATAGATTAGATTAGATTAGATTAGGTTAGATTAGATTAGATTAGATTAGATAGATGGATAGATAGAGGTACCAGGTAGGTAGGTAGGTAGGTAGGTAGGTAGGTACGTACGTACGTACGTACGTAGGTAGGTAGGTAGGTAGGAAGGTAGGTGATAGAGAGATATATAGGTGGATAGATAGATGGTTGAAGAGAGAAAGAAAGAAAGAAAGAAAGAAAAAAAGAAAAAAGAAAGGAAGAAAGAAAGACAAGACACAAAGAAATAGAAGGAAGGAAGAAAGGAAGAAAGAAAAACATAAAGGAAGATAGAAACAAAAGAAATCATGAAAAGAAAAGAAGGAAAGAATGAACAACAATTAAATCGAGAAGAAACATTAAATCAAGAAAGAGAAAAGATAAATAGTGTATATGTTCGAGTCTTCCGCCCACCGGCTTTGCCGGCTCTACTGGAAATAAACAGTCAAACAAATATGATGTGTATCAAAGTATAAAACATCATTTATATTGTAAACATATTTATATTACATCATATTGTTGGAGTACAAAGAAATACATTGTTCAGAATCAATAATATATTTATGAAATCAATATCCAAACTCAAATTCATTGTATCTGTTCCTTCTTCCCTTCATCAAATTTCGCGGATTCCCAATGGTTAGTGCGGTCGCATGAACTGCGCACTGACAACCAGGGCAATTTTGTTCATCAGGGCTCGGCATCGGGCCTCATTCTGCTTTGGACCATGATTGCGTGCCACGCAGGCTTGACAGCTGAGCCCTGTCAGGTGTCAATTCCCGTGCACAGGCGGCTCCGCGGCTGGTGGTTTTTTGAGCAAGCCGCAATCCCGAGGCTGCCCATCACAAGCCAGAGCGAAGTGCGAGGGCAACAGAAGGCCCTGAACCCCTTCGTTTCTTGGCTAGACTTCACCCCAAAAACATTGGATGTCCTATATGCCATACGCGCCACTGGCTTGTGACACCCTGCAAGCACTGCACAAATGTCGGCTTTGCTACTTTTCAAGGAAGACTGGCTTCACAAGCCACAATGGGCTTGTCAGCCTCGTCAGAGCCATTCACAGCAGGGGTGTGCAAGAAAGCACCCGCCCAAAGCCTTGCCATCGCCTCACATGCAAACAATAATGTGCCCCGGGAATACAGCACAAACAATTCTCACGGGCGGTTTTCAATGTGCCCATCATTTCTTAGCAAGGCAATTTGTTCGGCCAAACAAAATGTGGCACCTGGAGCATGGCGAACACATGGCTGGTGCCCATGATGACACCCAGCAAGTCGCGAAGCAACGCAACCCGGATCATGTTGCCCGGGTTCTGGACATGCTCTGTTGCTTAAATGTCTTGCCCTGTCCAAGAACCCATCAACATGATGTCCTCAGATTCCCCTTTAAAATCGGCGCGCTTCTCAACGCGACAGCCTTGAATTGCCGAGGTAAAGGGATCGCATTGATCCTCCACCCCTAAACATCAATACCAAGCAGCGAATGTAAGCAAACGTGACCTATCGTGCGCTACAACTGCCCTCAGGTTTGCAAGCGACAGTAGAGCAAACTCGCCACACTGCTGGCACACAACAGGAGACAAGCAACGTCGTTCTCCTACTTTTTGTTGACTCGGTACTACCTTCCTGAGAGTTCTTGTCCAACAAAAAACACCAGGCGCAAAAGACTGCACGCCTTCCAGCAAGGCGACACCTGCGAGTCCTTCCACATGCGCAGCCTCACTCCGATGACCGTGGACCTTGCAATGGGCCCCGTGAGCTCCAGCGGACTGCCTTTAGGAAGCGGAAAGGGCAAGCTCGGGAACGGCTTACACTGAGCAACCCTACCGTCAATGTGCAAACTCAACACCAAGCAGCACACTCCACCACAATGATCAGTGTGAACACTTGCAGTGGAGAAAACAAACAAGTCTCTCAATTGCAACGGCCACAGCGGTACTCATCCGAGTTGCTAACCATTTCAGGGTCCACCTCTTTTGAGACAAACCCATTTGCTCTGTTGAGACAAACTCATTTGCCACAAATCGCACACTCAGCTCAGCCTGCCTGGAGCACGAATACGCGACGGGCCCTTGGCACGAATTGAAGCAGTCTACCCCCTACGCCCAATACCCGCTGTTTCTAGGGTTTTTCTGGGAAAACCTGGTTTTCCAGGGTAAATAGCTACTTTTTTAAACACCTCCTTTTGTAGTAGAGGGTCGACGTCATACCCGAAAAGAAGGTGGGTATTGGGTGTAAGGGGTATGGCCTGTATGCCACAAATGAGAAATGTCCTTGCCAAGTCCGAGACCTGAGGAAGATTGTGAAAAAGAATGAAACACAAAGTCCCGCCCAAACCGAAGAACATCTGAAATCTCAAGCCTGGCAAATCTTTTAGAGCCTTCAACGTTGCAACGTTGCAAATCAAAACCGTGCCATCCTCGTTTATCCCAGTAAGATGAGTGGAAGGACGAAATCCATGACCACCTTTAAGCAACCCAACGAAATGATTAGATTCTAAATACGTAACAAACGTGGCTTCAACCATGGCATCCGTGTCGCGAGGTGCGAAATGGATTTCGCAACCTTAGTTTTGCACCTCCCAAGAAACCCTGGAATGATTCGATTCCGCAGATAAATACCAACAAACTGTCTGGCTTCGACCATCATTTCAACCAGGCTCTTGACGAGCGGCGATGACTCCCTTTCCGGCTTTCGACAGCCCCGGGGGTGCACCTACAGAGTGGGACGACACGGCTGTGTGGTTGAAAGCTGGGTATGTCTTGCCATTTAATTGGGTTTCCAAGGGAAAACCACAGGGGAAACCACCATGTTTGGGGTTCCAACCTTCCAAAAGACACACCCAAGTCTTGCTATTCGTTTTAGGAGAGGATAAGATCGTCGGCTTGGGGTTTTCGCTTAGGCTCAGGGATTGTAGTCTTTTCTGGCTTGCGCTTGTTATATGTTGGATTAGGTTTAGGGTTAAACAGTTTAAAGTTTAGGCTTCGGGTTTCGGTGTTGGGCGCGAAGCCCAGTTTTACGTTTGTGATGTTCGTTTGATGTCAGCACGAGACCTCCGTGGGGTTTTGAGTTCACTTTGAATTGGTGTTTTGGGCTTCTCGCTGTAGTTCTGCTGTGTGTCTGAAAGTAAGGGACCCCAAAAATAGTGGTTCCCTTTGCTCCTCCTTCTAACCCCCAGCAAGGGTGGCTTTCAACAAAACGCATCCCCATGTATCGGGCTTGTGGATGGCCGCGCGAGAACGCGAGACCTGCGCAAGAGGGTTTCAGGTGGCCTAAGAAGGGTCTGGGGCTGCTAGGTTTATGGTCCTCAGGTTTAGGCTTACAACCCCGAAGAAAACCCGATGCTGCGGCGCTGTGCAAATGATCCGATTTCATGGTGCACAAATGATATGTCACCCCAGGGAGGCCAGAGTTTTCAGAAGTCATCTCACTTATATTTCTCTCAAAGAATATTACACATCCTTGCCAGAAGGTCGTAGTGTGGAAATGACTTTCCTTTAATTGCGAGGCCTTCTCCCAGCACAGTGCGTCCGCGCCTGCAAACATACTGCTGAGACCATTCACCTTCTCCGTCCAATTCTTGGCCTTGGCGGCTTGGCAAAAAATCGACGACGGCCTCGCCCGTCAAACCTCTGGATGGGCGCTCTGCCAAGTCGCAGCTGGGCAAGTAAAGGACGTCTCACTGAAGAGTCCATCATTGCAAGTCCGCAAATGCTCCTCATGTCGCTCTGGCAAAGGGCTGACCCTGTTGCTTTTCCACAAACCAGCTTGCAAATCCACGCAAAGACTGGGTTCTCAACTTGTGGCAAGAAGAGCAAGACCAGGCTTGAGGCTTCCCGACCCACGTGATTAGAATTACTCAGCATAGCGGCATTTGTTGCAAGCCTCTCTGCCGCTTCTGCTCTATGCTGTCCTTGAGCGTTGAGAAGCGCAGGCCACTAGGAAACCTCAGGACAGGAGCCCGACGGCAACCTCTCATGTCCACGTAGCTTGAGGTGTCCTGGCAGCACTAGTATTACAAGCACTGGCCAAGAACAATTCAGTATTGCAGCCTAGAGCAGGGAGTAAGAATGGAGAATATTCATGGGCTCTGCTCCTGCTCCTGTCCTGAACCGCTGGCTTTTGTCGTGCTTGCTCTTGCGTTTTGGCTAGCGTTGCCCCCAGCTGGCCCTGATGATGCCTCTATGTTCATAGGCATCCATGTGTTTCATAACCAGACCTTGGAAGCTACGCGGGGGCTACGTGGGGGTTGCGAGGAACTCCTTGCCAACCCCTCAAACTTTGAACCCGAACAGCTGGTCCACGCAATGGGTCAAGTTCAACTTGTCTTACTATAGATGCAAAGTGCAACACAAAGCTTCATGAAATGCGATGCAACAAGAACTCGGAGGCAAGCGAAGCCCTCCTAGATGACAAAGTCCACTGCCGCTACCCAAGCAGTCGTTTCCACGCGCGTAGCCACGCGGTGCAAGTTCTTAGGACGGCCCTCCGCATCTGCGCCGATATGGGCCCAAGAGCGCGACGCGTTCTTCACATCGGGGGGAGAGAGCAGGCAACGCGCGGCAGCACCTCTGATATTCAGACCAGTTGGCGTGGCCACCGCGGGAGCCGCCCCAGGACTCAACCGCAGCCAGGTTGAGGCGCTCTGCGTCATCGGAAGCTCCACCTGATGAGATGCCCAAAGCTTGCACGCCTCCCAGCTGAACTCAGACTGGTACTCCTGGGTCCGTCATCCGTTCCGGCTTGCATCCAAACAGATGTGAGGCGCTTCTGGAGCCATCTCCACGTCACCCACCAGACGCCTATTTTTTTGGCAACCCGCGAGCTTCTGCAGGTTGCTGACAACTGGAACATGGGAGTCCGCCTTGCTAGGCATTCTCCGAGGGCTGCTCACTGCCCTTTCCCTCAAACATGATCTTGCCAGTGAGGATGTCTAGGGCGTTCACGAGGTCCCTGCGCCAGTCTCAGCCGGCTCCGCCACCACAACAGAACGCGGAGGCAAGCGAAGCCCCCAAGATGACACAGCTTCTCCCGCTACCCAAGCGATGGCCTTCAAACATCTTCACATCATGTTGGACACACTTGAATGGCAGTGGCCTATATTGCGTAAAGTTTTTCCTGATTCTGGATTGTTGGACTGTTTTAGGGTCCTCTATTGTGGCAAGTCCCCAAAAAGAAACGCCAGGAAACATCCGGAGCAAAAACAACTAGCCAAAGAAGTCTGGCAAAAAATCCGGGCAAACATTAGGAAGTCCTTTTTTGAAATGCTTCACAAACCATCCAATTTAAGATAACTTCTTCACACAAAAGTACGCGCAAACAGTCACACAAAGGGGGTTGCCCACAGGGGCCGTGATCCTGTTTTAATGCGACTGTTTTGGGGTCCTCTTTAGTGTCCAGCTTTTGTTTGGTTTGGGGGGGGGGTTGCTGAAATTCTCAAATTAAAGCCTTAGCCTCTTACATTCCAAGGGCGGTTCAGCCAAGCTCTCCCCAGCTCAACGGGTCAAGGCTTTGGATCAAGGAAAGCCATTTAGCCAGTGGTCCGCAAACTATCAATTTTAATATAACTTCTTAACAAAAAAGTAAGGGCAAACATTCGCACAAGGGGCGGGCCCACAAGAAGTTGTTGGAAAAACTGGCCTTGGCAATACCAAAAGTGCAGTACAAAAGTAGCATTGGCAAGACAAAGTAAGTACTGGGAATCTGTGAGAAGGCCCTGAATTGGCAATACTAACGTAAGCAAAATCTGAACGGGGGCCTTGGCAATACACAAGTAGAATTGGCAATACGAGGGTCCAGAAGATTGGTTTAGTGTCGAAGGGGGGGGGGGTTCGCATTAAAGCAGGTCCAGCATGTACCCCGCACAGCGCACCGACTGCCACGAAACGCCAACACCAGCTCCGTGAGCAAGTCTGTCACATCCTTTCGAGCCTGTGCGGAGCAAGGAGGGTTTGTTCAAAATGGCAACTGCGCCATATGGGTATGGGTCAAAATTAAACCACCAGGGGACCTTTTTTTCCATCACCAGGGTTCCATTTGGGGTACCGATTTTTGACCCACAGCCGTACGCAAGACAAGTCAAGGAACCCAAATCTCCGTACCTGCGTCAATGTGTTCCCAGGGCAGCTGAAGCCTGCCTCGTTGTCCTTATCGTTCCTTGTGCAAAGCAAGCGACCAGGGCACGATGGCCAAGGCGCAAAAAACGCATCGGGGTTTAGACCACAGGCAGGGAGGGCGTCAATCGCGTTCATCAAAATATGCTGAGCATACAGGTTCTTTTGTCTAAGGGTTGAGATGCAAATCTGAAGGTAATGTGGCACACAATTGAAATACAGTACCCTGTCTTGCTAGATATTGCACTCCGCTCCATTGCCAGAATACATCGACGCGCTTAGTACATGAAGCGCGTAACATGCGTTCACTGCCTTCATTTGATGAGCTTGCGTCGTACCGCCCTTCGTTTGCATAATAACTGGGCATCTATGAGGCGGACTTGCCCTTTGGCACGTGTTTCTGCCAAGGAGCTCCGTAGAAAGCTCAGATTCAGCCTGCACTTTTTTGGCAAGCAATCATCATGTGGAACAAATGAAGGCTCAGCGTGTGTATTAAGAGGTATACTAGGGTGAACCTGGCCCTGCGCCCTCCGGCCCCCCTTGCGGGAACTCGAGACGGGAAAGCACACGTGCGGCAAGGTGCGGGAGAATACTTATTGTTAAAAAGTAGATGAAAAACGAAACTGCGCTGCCGAGCCCGGCATGACGCGCTGCTTGCGACGGTCTTTGTTGACTAAAGTGGTCGACGCCTCCTGCATCACCAGCGCATACGTCTCCGAATGATTTCGCTACTTCAATGTGGTTTGTTCGAAAGGGAGCCGTCTTTCCGTTGTCACATGGAAACACAGATTGTCGAGATATCAGAAAGAAGACACAAAAAAGTGGAACAAAGTGCTGAGAAGCTGCTCAATTTCGTTCAAAACTCAGCTCTGACTGAGCGAGCAGAACTTGCTTTTCATTTCAGCGAAACTCAATGTTGAAAAAAAACGTTCTTCGCGGACCAAAGTCGATGTCGCTCTTGTCCGTGAGCTAAAGTGGTCAACACCCCCATCATCACCAGTCTTTGAATAATATGTAAAAAAACTCTTCCACTAACTAAAAGTAGATGCCGCGACAGTCCACAAGCAAAAGTGATTGACACCCCGAGCAGCACGAGTGCTGGAGCAAAGGAAACTACAGTCCGCTCCCTAAAAGTAGATGTCGCGATAGTCCGAAAGCTGAAGGGGGTTGAGAAGAAGAAATATTTTTCAGCTAACTAAAAGCAGATGTCATGGTTTCCCAAACTCGACTTTTGAGAGTCGATCGGCGGCATCCAAATTCTCTGCACGAAGAATGAGGAAATTTGCACTTTTCAAGCTGGACGTGACTCGGTCTGCTGATTTGGACCGTCTTCGTTGGTCGACAGCCGCAGCATCACCAGTGATGTTGTGAAGGAAATACTTCCGCTTACCCAAAGTAGATGTCGCGATAGACCGCGAGCAAAAGTGGTCAGCACCCCCAGCATCCGCAGCGATTGCTCAGCGCCGCCAGTTTTTACAGTAAATGATTTTTCGGCCGTCTAAAAGTAGATGTCGCAGTGTCCAAACTCGACTTTTGAGAATCACGTGGCGGCATCAAAAAATATGTACACTGCGAGTGGGGAAAATTGCTCTTTTGAGCTCAACGTGACTCGGTAGGCTTTGGACGGTCTCTGTTGAGTAAAGCGGTCGACACCCCAGCATCACCAGCTTTTTAACAGAGCACGAAGGCGAATGCCTTTTGAGCGCACGGAAAAAAGTCAACTAAGAAGTCGGCCTTGGGATCAAACCACGTGAAAGTAGCGATGACACTGAGCAAACTATTGTAGTCACATGATAGTATCTTCTTCCACGCATACAAATCATACACCTGTCGCTTTGTACGTCCGGCTGCTGCAGGGTAGGGGCACTGGGGCGGGTTCACCTCAGTGTATACATGTGTATGGCCCCGTCCTCCTCTCTCCTACCGCTTCCCCCCCACAAGTTATCCCTGGTCGACCCCTGGACCGCTGTGTCGCTTCGGGCTGGCTCCGCACTTTTCGGGTATGTCCGTTCCCTGCCACCCGCGCGCGCATTTGTTTCATTTGCGCGTATTCTTACGTTTTCTTCTGTCAGAGAGCTAGCTTTCAACTAGTGTCCGTACCACCCACTTCCTTTGATGAGCAAGCAAGTCAACTAAGACTAAACCAAACGCAAGCTAGCCCTAAAACCACTCCACAGGGCGGGCCAGGCGTTCCCTAGAGCATCCCACATCAACCTTCCACACTGCGCAAGCCATCAATCAACCCTAACCCAACCCTCAATTCATGTCAACCAGACCCACCCACCATGCCCAGTTGGGGGAGGGGAATTTGGTGTGTGGGCTGGGGGGCTGGACCATGTAGATGTTCGTGCCCCCATTTCTCTAAATTGTAGCCACTTGTTTCGGGATGTTGAACAAACAAAAATGCAACATCATGGGAACGGAGAAGGGCTGGATACCATTTGTCAAGACTGAGATTCCCACCCGTATTTGGACCCTGGATGCAAGATCCAAGATGCGTGGAAACTTTTAAGGAGCAATCTTAGATCCATGAGTGACCCTCTTCAAATCTAAATACCGGAATTTTATATGTATGAATACCTGTGTTTAGACCCTGAATCCAAGTTCCAAGATCCAAGATTTGGCGCATCCAAGATTTGGCGGAAAATATTGGATCTATATATGTTGTCCACCCTGAGATCTATTTTGTATCCTTTTATATAGATTTCTAACTACGGTTATTTAGATCCCAGATCCAAGATCCAAAATTTGTGGAGAGTTTTGGGAGCCATCTCGGGGATCGATGAACTTTGTAAATGCCCATATTTAGACTCTGGATCCAAGATCCAAGATCCAAGATTTGTGGAGACTTTTCGGAGCCATCTCGGGGATCGATGAGTGATACTGTTTATCTGGCTGGCATTTAGTTTTCTAAATACCCATATGTAGACCCTGGATCCAAGATCCAAGATCCAAAATGTGTGGTGGACTTTCCGTAATTGTCTCCCTTTGTCCATCTCTTTCTCACTCTCTCTATCTTCTTTCACATAGTCTCTCTCTCTCTCTCTATGGCTGCCTCGCCTCTCCTTTCAGTCTCTGCCTCTGTCTCTGTCTTCTCCATATGTCTCTTCATCTCTTTGACTCTTCTCCCCCCTCCCGGAAATCTGAATGCTTGTAGCCAGATTCCAAGATTTGTGGATTCATGAGCCATACTCCTGAAATCTAGATACCGAACCGGTATTTAGACCCTAGCCTGAAACCAAACTCCAAGATCCAGGACTTGCGGGTCGGACCCCAAGGTTGCCTCCAAAACTCCCCCAGCCGTCTTGGATCTTGGGCGGGTCTCAAGAACTCTGAATGCCGGTATTAGGAATTGAAGAATACCACTCCTGGGTCCAAGATTGCTCCCAAAAGCGTCCACAAATCGTTCATCTTGGGAACAGGATCACATACGGGCATAATATTGATTGAACCCTACAGCCTGCGCGCTCAAATCAAGCAAAACCCGGCATTTGGGGGGGGAGGCCACCTCCCAGGATGTCTACTTTTATGTCTCCCTGCAAACCACAGGCTAAGACAAAATGCAAAACCGAAAGCCCAAACCGCCTCGAACAAATGCAAAGATCTGCCAAAGCAACTGGCCAATCAAACGTGAAAGGTGGGCGGGGGGGCTTGGGGGGGGCATACGTGATTCACGTCTGCAGGCCGCCCCACCGTTTTTGCTTTTGCTTCGCTCTCCCCACAGCCATTTCGGCTCAAGGCCCTTCTTCTTTAAGATGTCATCCAATGGAGCGGCCGCCGGATCAAAAAACCACCAGTGGCCCGTGCGTCTCAAGCTTCAAAGGCGCGGCGCGGCGCGGCGGCCGCCGTCAAATTATCAAATTCAAAGTCTGAAATCACTGAGTTTCAGCTGTCTTTGAAAGGGAACTGCGTCCAGCGCGACAAAGAAATCAAAATCCTTCATTGCGCGGGGCCAAATGTTGCGAGTCAACCGCTGGTGCCCTACGTTCGCTTGCAAGCCCCCGCGTTTCGTGTGAGTCAAGCCATCGCAGTAGCGTTCGTACCTTCCACGCTTTACACACAATGTTTGCTAGTCTTTTGCCTGGTAGCTCAACTGGCTACAAATCTGTGAACGCCTTCAGCAATAACTAAATCTGACGCTTTAGCTTAGTTTTGCTGGGATACAAGGCGCGCACCGAATCTAATCAATGTCATCGATATTTGATGTGAGTGTGAGCAACTCCGAGTTCTGGCTCGGTACAGATACACGTTGGCCGTTCCCTTCAGGAAGCATTTTTCAGCGTGTTCTTGAAGTAGTTGAACCATTCATGGGATGTGTTGTCGAGGACTTCCTTGTACCTGTAAGCGTCTCCCGCGCTTCTGCCTTTGAGGAGAGGTCCTCTCTTGGATGCTTCGGGGGTAACATCCTTGTGTGCCTTGATTTTTTTCGGATTGCCATAGTCAAAACTCTTAGGGGCATGCTGAGGTTCCGCTCTAGAAATGGTCACAAGCCCGCATGAAAAGATTGATGGCCATCCACATTATGACACACGATGAAAAATCCACCCGTTCCAAGCTGGAACAGGGCAAACCCTTCCCGCCTGGCTGCCATTGATGGAAGCCTCCCAGCCAGTTCGTGACAAGTAACCGGCCAAATCTCACAAAACTTCGCCGCATTCATCCTCACTCAAAATTCTGAGCCTGCAAGTAGCCACGCGGTGACTTGCAAACCGGCGCTCCACTCCACAAACAAGTGTCTTTGCTTGGTTGCCCGCGCAAGTGCGACAATGCCATAGCAGAGCTTGGTTCATTGGTTGGCAATTTCGACCAGCAGGCGCCGCACACCATTCTCCCTTTATCCGCTTCGTTTGGCAAGTCTGCATGCTATCTGGAACTTGGTTATTGCGCAGGCGTCAAAGACTGCTCGACTCGTCAAATCATGGCCCCATCAAGCGCCTCTGCGCGCACAAGTCCAATGTTGTTTGCATTGCAGGCACCCGGGGCCAGCGGGCCGATAGGCATAGGTTTCGCATTCCTCGTAGGCCGGATATGACTTGTGAGAAAGAGCCCACAATCGGAATTGAAAGTAACAGGCCCGCAAAACTAGGCTGCTCTCAGATCCCTGCTGAAAGTTTAACTTTTAGGTTGCTAGATGGAGAATGGAAATCTTACCTCACCCTAAAAAGCCAAAAGGCTACTGAGATGGCGAGCCAGTCAGAAAATGTTTAGCCATCACGCATCCTCAGCCAATGCACGCAAAATTGGTTTGGCATGGGCTTAGAATTGCTTTCGGGCTGGTTTTGTTGGGAAGACACCCTACCGGTCTACGCGGGTTTCGATTGTGGCGCAGGTCACAAAAACGCTTTGCCAGTGAAGCAAAAACAAACCCTGCCGGCCGCCTCGAACAGGTAAGTTTCAAGAAGCAGGAAAAAAAAGAAGGCGAGTAAGAAGAGGGGACATCAGAAAACAAAGGCAGCGCACGCCAAGCGTCTTTCGATGAATGACAGGGCGCATTCCATCAGCCCAAGACTTGAGAAGCTTCTTGCTCATAGCGTCCTTTGCAAAAGGGTTGATAAGATACAGAACCACACGGGGCGTTCATGAGTCTTTTGTCAAAAACGCTTCCTTAGACTCTAAAAACAAACACAATCTGACGAAGCGTGATGTGCCATCCAGGTTGCGCGCAACATAAGCTCCAGCTCCAGGGTCGAAACGTGCCAGAAAGGCTGCACTTTCTGCTGCAACTTCGACGCAGCTTCGGAGACCTCGGGCGGCGATGTGTGCTGCAGAGCCCTGGAAAAAGACTGAAAGCTGCAGTTGGGGTGGATGATGATAATTGGGGCTATCCCACTCGGCAAAGGTGCCGGGGCCCGATTCACCAACCCCCGCTTCCAAGACATCAGAAACATGACCAGCCTGGCGCGGCAGCAACAAATTCTCATCCTGCAGCATCTGCTGGAACACCTCAGCACGCGCCGCGTCACAGAGCCGCATTCACTCATGTTGAGGGTTGCTCAATATTCCTGGCCCCCGCATGATCACGTAACGTTCCCCAGGGATGTTATGCACGGACTTGTCAAGCAAGCACTATCAGCTTCCCTCTGGTTTGTGGTTTGGAGGGTGATCGGTGTTTCATCACCAACGGCGATCTGCGGACCAATCCGCGGGAACTGGGAAAAGCATGGTGGCCTCAAATTCATCAACCCCAGTTTACTCATAGGGGGTGTCCCTGCTTTTGGTGAGGTTAGAGACCAAAGTCAATATGGGGTCATTGGAGGCTACCTGATCAACGACTTTTCTGTCGACTCGGATTTGAGTCAAATCCAGATGCGCCTGCCTTCACGACCTCCGGGTCCTGGAAGCCCTGAGGGCCCAGAAGAGTCTGAAATAAAAACGGAGAAACATGGGCCAAGCAATCCAAAAACAGGATCGCTAAATCACGGCGCCCGTGGCTTCCAAAGAGGAATCCCAAAGAGCTGAAGCCAAGCTGCACGCTTCTCCCTGTGAAAAAACCCTTGTTGCACACACAGCCAAGCGCGGACCCCTTGATGAGCCTTGTCAACGGCGTCATCATTTGTGTTCTGCGGCTGTTGCTCTTCCTGCAGGTAGCGTTCTAGAACAAACGCGAAAAGCCCTGCTTCTCTCCCTTGCATTAACGCTGGCAATCAAACCCGTGTCCTCTTGGTTGACAAAGCCTTGAAACCAGATTGGGCTTTTGGCAAGAAAGATGACAGGTTGCTCGCCGCGCATGGGAGGCTGAATGTGGTAGAGCATTGGTGCCTGAGCTGAGGCCGTAACTTCTGGTCGGATCTCACATCTAAAATCCCCCGTTCGAAAAGTCCCTGAGCGCATCAAAACCAGCTGAAATCGTCTGCCAGCAACATGTCTGGTTTCGCGCACGCGCCCGCAAAGATGTCTGACTAAACTTGGCGGCGCGATGTCCACCACTTGTTTTTCCTTTCCCTCTTCTTTTGACACCGCTTTGCCTCTTCTTCTTCTCCTCCTTCTTCTCGCAAAGACACACGTACACCCCACAACATGGAGGTACACACGCACACAAACAAGCACACGTGCAACACACTGTTGCATCACGTGCGCATCCAAAATACATCTGCCGCAAGGTGCGTGTGCAATCAAGACACAAATCCTGAGCAACCTACACAGGAGCAAGATATAGGTGAGGGGCCGCCGCGCCGTGCCTGGTTGCTGCCAGCTGCTGGCAACTTCCGAGACCTACTCTCTTAGCGGGTTTCGAAGCTTGCCTGCGCTGCCGCGCCCTGGCTGCGCCTTGCCTGGTTGCTGCCGGCTGCTCGCAACTTGCAAGATTTGGTGCTTCCTGCCGGGCCCTGGCTGCTTTCTTAGAAGCTGCCGTTTGGGCACCCTCCGCGCTTCATGCTTCGGTCTTGCCTAAGCCACTTTTTGCGTGATTGGAGCCTGCCTTGCCTGGCTGCTGCCACTGCTCTTTTTGCGGGTGTCGAAGCTGCCGCCTCGCACCCTCGCTGGTATTTTTCGGTCCTTCTTCCGTCGCTTTTTGCACTCCGCGCCACTGTGATTTTGAGCGCGTTTCAAGCTTCATTGTTCGGTCTATTTTCGGTCGCTTCATGGTTCGCTCCTTTTGCGGCCGCTTCCTTTTCGGGCACCTTGCGCAACTTATGAGCTTTGGGCTTGCTGCCGGGCCCTGGCTACTCTCTTTGCGGGCTTTGATCCGTGTCAGCGTGAGCTGGAGGGTTGGCAACAAAGCACATCATCATGTCGTCGCAAGGCTGCTCCGTCTCACACAGCCATTTTGGAAGCGCGGCCTCACTTGGCAAACGACGTAATTCGTAAAGGGGGTCGGGCGTAGCCCGCACATCCGGCCTCTGCCTTCCGACGGCCGGAGCTGGCGACCCCTTGCGCGTTTCGTGCATCATTGCTTCAGTTCGGGGGAGGCTCAAAACACTGCAAATATGCAGCAACCTTGGGCCAAGCTTCCCAAGCTAGTCCATGCGCAACGCGCTGGCCGCGTACCTGGCTGACCACCAACCAACCAACCAACCAACCACCCAACCAACCCAAACCAACCAACCAACCAACCAAGCAACCAACCAACCAACCAGCCAGCCAGCCAGCCAACCAACCAACCAACCACCCCCATCCGTCCATCTAATCTACCTGTCCCGCACACGGATGAACCTGCACAGATTGGCCCTGCCTGTGCATTGCGAAGGCATGAGGGGCAGATGCCTGACGCTTGTCTACTTACATTTGCAAGAAAGCAGATCATACTTTCGACGCCCCTTCAAAACAGCACTTTCTGCGCCGCCTGCAACATGCATTTTGGGCGCTACTTTCGCGCATAGACATGAGACAAAGGCGCTGCAACTAGAACCCAAAGCACAGAGTGTCTCTGATGACTCTGTCTCTTTCTGTCTGTCTCTTGTCTCTGACTGTCTCTGTCCGTCTCTATCTCTCTTTCCCTGACAGGATGAGAGCAAGCAAAGATATGGGCGAACACATGTGTGCTCAGTTGTAACACATTCTGGGGGTCCCCTGTAGAGTTTTAGGAGCCCTCAACAAGCATGGTTTTGGACACCCTCCCTGCCCGTGCCAAGACCAAAAGTGCTGGCTGTGACTACAGGTGGTCTCACTACGTCTGGTCAGCGTTGGCCAAGAAAAGGCACACTTCCGCCAAGAAATCCTACAAAACAAGCAGCTTGCCCGTTGGTTTTCGATTGGACTGACCCAATGCGAGCACTCAAGCATCGACCAGATTGGTGAAGCTCCCGACATAGCAGTGTCTTCACACTGCGCGCCACTACCATGCATTTCTACCCCTGACTCAGGGCACTTCGCTGCTGCTCCTTGCCAGCATTCTTCTCCGTGTCGATCAACCACACCCGGAAGACAGGTACTAAGTGTGTCCACATACACCACAACCATATTCTCGGCGCCCACATACTCCACAACCAAGTTCTCGGCGCCGGGTTCTTTCTCCTAATCCAGTATATCCCCAGACACCTCCGTACAAAGCTTTGTACCAGGTGCGAAGACCTGCAGAAATGGGACGCAGAGGTCCAGTCTACCATCAAAACACATACCCCATGGGCCGCTCTCCAAGTCCTCCTGCTTTCTGCTTTGTCGCTCTCTGTCTCCGTCTCAGCCTCTGTGTCTCTTCCTGTCTCCGTCTCTGTCTCTCTGTCTCTTTCTGTCTCTCTGTCTCAACTGCGCAGGCATAAAATTTGCGCGTGTTAAAGCTCCAAAACCGGATCATTTTATCGCCTACCGAACCAGGACAAAACAACGGCCCGCCGACCCTAGCAAAACAAAAAGCCCTTCTGCCAAGTTGCATCTCGAGCACACACTTGAAGAATTGCACTGATTTGCTCCTCAAGCACATGATGGCAAGGCCTGGAGCAAAAAAGCCCTTGGCTGACGCAGGGTTCTACTTCTAGACTGCCCCAAGATAGACTTCACCCTCAACCACCCCAGTTGAAGTCCATCTAATCTGCAGTAGTCAAAAAGCGGAGCCCTGGCTTCTTTGATGGCTACAAGCGTTGCAGCAAACGCCTTGCTAGATTCCGTAACCGGCAACTGGCAGGACAAATGTCCCATGACTTCGCCGCGCCTCCGAAAAGCGCTGACACTCGCGAAGCTTACTCTGCAGCATCTTGACCGTGGGCGTGATGCGGTTCTTCAGGAAAAAAACATGCTGCGCGTCGCAAAACTCCGCATCTAGACTGACCATGCAAGTGACCATGTGGGGCGCTCAAACTACCTACAGTGGATGGACGAAATCCTGCGCAATAAGAAACCCTACGGTGATGATTTTCAGTCCATCCACAGTATCACAACCGCAATCCTACGTTTGGTTCAGTCCTTGTAGCAGTACAGGATGATCCTCGTTACCTCACCCTTGAACACCTGAGAGCAACAGCCTGCACTGGGAAACGACAAGATAAGCCCAAACGAGCAACGCATGAGAGGCCCAAACATGTAAATATACACACATCGCTCTCCCTCGGGCTGCGTAATGCCGGCTGAGCCGAGCAGCTGAGCACGGCTGAGCACACGGCTGAGCACACTGAGGGCCGTGCACCGGCTGAAGGATGAGAAGCTGAGCACCGAGCACCGGCTGAACACGGCTGAACACGGCTGAACACGGCCGAGCAGCTGAGCACCAGCTGAGCACCGCTGAGCATGTCGGCGAGGATGTTAACCAACAACCCCTATGTTCATTTTTTGTAAGGACCCATGCCACTTGACACAAAGCAAATGCGATGAAGATAACCATGTTTCCTTGAGAAAAAGAACAACAAGAGGCGGAAAATAATTCCGGACAGTCTACCAGGTGACAACTGCAGACACGATAAAAGTTGCTTTTAAAGAACGTGAGGGAGCAAAGCCAGGAGAGAAACTGGTCCAAGGATCAAACATCAACCAAAGGCGGAAGTATAAGCAAGGACAAAAGCAAACCCATGTGGTTTTGATGCTGGCCAAAACCAAGTTTCTGAAGCTATGTTAGCAACGTTCTTGGGAAGTGTCCAAGAACGTCCCGTGAATGTTCTATGGATGGTCTACAATTGTCAATGTTTGTCTGTGGACTGTGTACGCACTGTTCAACAAGTGAATAGACAAATCATAGAAATCAAGGGGAAGTGCAAAAGAAACACATAGAGAAAATCAACCGTGCAAAAAAATATGCAAAGCTAACACATGCATAGACATGAACGGACAACGCAATGAAAGCGCAGAGACACTTCATGGAACAGTCGTGCAAAACACATACAACATACGTGACACTCACCTGGGTTCTATGAAGCATCTAGGGACAGTTCACTGCTCCACTGACATTGGACCTGTTTTTGTACTTGTGGGTTTGTTTGAATCTCCTTTTCTCTCTTACTGGACCGCTGCAACTTCTGCGCAATTGCGACGAGCGTGCGCAAAGCAGACGCTGGCGCGAAGATTTTTGTGGGATTAGCTGGTCGCTGACTTTTCGGTCTTTGAAGATTGAGGTCTTTCTACGTACATTTTGCGCTTCGCTAACGCCAATGTTTGGCTGTGGCCGTTTTTATATCAATACCACCAACCCCTTTAAATTGAACTGCAAAATCAAATGGCGAGTCGATAAGCGGTGAGAGAGACAAACTCCGCCGACCCCTTCTCCTAAGGGGAGGCGCACGGGAAGGGTGGCAACAAGATCGTCATCATGATGGTCATCATCATCTCGTTTGTTCGACTTCAATTGTAGCTCCGATTTGAGATGCAAAAACGCGTGGACATGCTAAGCAAAAGATGTCTGGACATGCTTATCATGATGACTCCTGGTGATGCTCAGGATGCGTCATGAGGCTAATCTTCCGATTTATCATCAATATCCGCTGCACGAGCATTCTGGAAGACCAAGTCTAAGGCGCGACCCGTAAGCTTGGTTACGGGTCACGCTTCACATTCTCTTCACATTCACACTTGTCTTCATATATTCTTCTGACTTTCTTCATACTTTATGTTACGCTAAGCAAAAGATGTCTGGACATGCTTATCATGATGACTCCTGGTGATGCTCAGGATGCGTCACGATGCTAATCTTCCGATTTATCATCAATATCCGCTGCACGAGCATTCTGGAAGACCAAGTCTAAGGCGCGACCCGTAAGCTTGGTTACGGGTCACGCTTCACATTCTCTTCACACTCACACTTGTCTTCATATATTCTTCTGACTTTGTTCATGCTTTATGTTTTCTCTTCTTCTATTCTTCTTCTCGCGTATATCTAGCACTTTGCCTTTCCTACGGCTTCGCCCTACAGCGGCCGCCTCGATGGCACCCTGTAGCTGAGGATGCGTCGCGATGATTATCACGCGACCTGAGACCCAAAAGGTGCTGAGGAGGTTGGACCTTAGAACGCGCGGCCAGAACGCGCGACCAGGCTTTATCATCATGACTACTGGTGATGCTGAGGATGCGTCATGATGATTATCATGCGACTTGAGATGCAAAAGATGCGTGGACATGATCACCATGATGACTGCTGGCGATGCTGAGGATGCGTCATGATGACTATCAGCCGATTTGAAACGCAAGAGTCGCGTGGAAATGATTATCATGAGGATTGCTGGACAGTTATCATCACAGTCATCATCCTTGTCACCCTCGTCATCAATATCATCATCATCATCATCGTAGTCATCGCCATCTCTTTCTATACTTCTATATTCTATAATACACATCTCAAGTGTGGCGTTAGAGAGCATTGGTGTTGCAGAGGATGCGTCGTCATGATTATCATCATGACTACTGGTGATGCTGAGGATGCGTCATGATGATTATCATGCGACCTGAGATGCAAAAGATGCGTGGACATGATTATCATGATGACTGCTGGTGATGCTGAGGATGCGTCATGATGACTATCAGCCGATTTGAAATGCAAGAGATGCGTGGACATGACTATCATAAGGGTTGCTGGACGGTTACATGGTTATCATGATGACTGCTGGACAATTCTCATCACAGTCATCATCCTTGTCACACTCGTCAGCAATATCATCGTCATCATCATCGTAGTCGTCACCATCTCTTTCTATACTTCTATATTCTATAATTTACATTTCAAGTGTGGCATTAGAGGGCACTGGTGATGCAGAGGATGCGTCGCATGATTCTCAACATGACTACTGGTGATGCTGAGGAGGCGTCATGATGATTATCATGCGACTTGAGATGCAAAAGATGCGTGGACATGATTATCATGATGACTGCTGGCGATGCTGAGGATGCGTCATGATGACTATCAGCCGATTTGAAATGCAAGAGATGCGTGGACATGATTATCATGAGGATTGCTGGACGGTTACATGGTTATCATGATGACTGCTGGACAATTATCATCACAGTCATCATCCTTGTCACCCTCGTCACCATCTCTTTCTATACTTTTATATTCTATACTATACATTTCAAGTGTGGCGTTAGAGGGCACTGGTGATGCAGAGGATGCGTCGTCATGATTATCATTATGACTACTGGTGATGCTGAGGATGCGTCATGATGATTATCATGCGACTTGAGATGCAAAAGATGCGTGGACATGATTATCATGATGACTGCTGGTGATGCTGAGGCTGCGTCATGATGACTATCAGCCGATTTGAAATGCAAGAGATGCGTGGACATGATTATCATGAGGATTGCTGGACGGTTACATGGTTATCATGATGACTGCTGGACAATTATCATCACAGTCATCATCCTGGTCACCCTCGTCATCAATATCATCATCATCATCATCGTAGTCATCACCATCTCTTTCTATACTTCTAAATTCTATACTACACATTTCAAGTGTGGCGTTAGAGAGCACTGGTGATGCAGAGGAGGTCGTCATGATTATCATCATGACTACTGGTGATGCTGAGGATGCGTCATGATGATTCTCATGAGACTTGAGATGCAAAAGATGCGTGGACATGATTATCATGATGACTGCTGGTGATGCTGGGGATGCGTCATGATGATTCTCAGCCGGTTTGCAATGCAAGAGATGCGTAGACATGATTATCATGAGGATTGCTGGACGGTTACATGGTTATCATGATGACTGCTGGACAGTTCTCATCACAGTCATCATCCTTGTCACCCTCGTCATCAATATCATCATCATCATCATCATCGTAGTCATTACCGTCTCTTTCTATACTTTAATATTCTACACTATTTATTTCAAGTGTGGCGTTAGAGAGCACTGGTTATGCAGAGGATGCGTCGTCATGATTATCATCATGACTACTGGTGATGCTGAGGAGGCGTCATGATGATTGTCATGCGACCTGAGATGCAAAAGATGCGTGGACATGCTTATCATGATGACTGCTGGTGATGCTGAGGATGCGTCATGATGATTATCATGCGATTTGAAACGCAAGAGATGCGTGGACATGATTATCATAAGGGCTGCTGGACGGTACATGGTTGTCATGATGACTGCTGGACAATTCTCATCACAGTCATCATCCGTGTCAGCGTCGTCATCAATATCATCGTCATCATCATCGTAGTCATCACCGTCTCTTTCTATACTTTTATATTCTTCACTATACATTTCAAGTGTGGCGTTAGAGAGCACTGGTGATGCAGAGGATGCGTCGTCATGATTATCATCATGACTACTGGTGATGCTGAGGAGGCGTCATGATGATTATCATGCGACTTGAGATGCAAAAGATGCGTGGACATGATTATCATGATGACTGCTGCGATGCTGAGGATGCGTCATGATGATTCTCAGCCGGTTTGAAATGCAAGAGATGCGTGGACATGATTATCATGAGGATTGCTGGACGGTTACATGGTTATCATGATGACTGCTGGACAATTATCATCACAGTCATCATCCTTGTCACCCTCGTCAGCAATATCATCGTCATCATCATCGTAGTCGTCACCATCTCTTTCTATACTTCTATATTCTATAATTTACATTTCAAGTGTGGCATTAGAGGGCACTGGTGATGCAGAGGATGCGTCGTCATGATTCTCAACATGACTACTGGTGATGCTGAGGAGGCGTCATGATGATTATCATGCGACTTGAGATGCAAAAGATGCGTGGACATGATTATCATGATGACTGCTGGCGATGCTGAGGATGCGTCATGATGACTATCAGCCGATTTGAAATGCAAGAGATGCGTGGACATGATGATCATGAGGATTGCTGGACGGTTACATGGTTATCATGATGACTGCTGGACAATTATCATCACAGTCATCATCCTTGTCACCCTCGTCACCATCTCTTTCTATACTTTTATATTCTATACTATACATTTCAAGTGTGGCGTTAGAGGGCACTGGTGATGCAGAGGATGCGTCGTCATGATTATCATTATGACTACTGGTGATGCTGAGGATGCGTCATG